CTGTGCCATTACCTTTAACCACCTGTAATTGTGCGAAACTGGTAAAACGATTAAGTTTTATTATGAGCATCATCATTGAACGTCATTATCAGGTTACAGAAAAGTAGCTCTTATTTGCTGTTGTTGATTCATGGGAGATATAAAATTTATCCAGGAAATTTGGTTTTAGGACAATTCATAACTTGGCAAGAACATTTTAGTCATTTCAACAGATCATGAAAAGGAGTAAACTAAAATATACCTAAGTGATGTCACATTTTCAAATGCAATATAGCGAGAAAACTGGTGTAATTAAAAAGTACTGGAAGTTTGTTAAACGATTTCATTGAAATTGAAATTTACATAATGAACCCCCAAATCAATCAATCAATCAATCAATCTATCTATCTATCTATCTATCTATCTATCTATCTATCTATCTATCTATCTATCTATCTATCTATCTATCTATCTATCTATCTATCTATCTATCTACCTGTTTGTCTGTCTGTCTGTCTGTCTGTCACAATATATTGTCAATATAGGTGAGGTCAATATAAAGATCAGCTTGCAGTAGTGAAATATTACAACCACAAGATGGGGACAAATCTGTAATTAAACAGAAAATACTTTCATATTTTGGCCAGAAATAGAGGATGAAAACATCTTTCCCTTACTACACTGTAAAAAAAGATTTTTAAATGAATTCTAAAAGCTATTTTTAATTTACATCACATTAAACTGACAGCTTGACTTAAAGGAACACTCCATTTTACTTTGAAAATAGCCTTTATTTTACAAATCCCCTAGAGATAAACAGACAAGTTTTACCATTTTGAACAAATTCAGTGAATCTCCAGACCTCTCCCAGTTAAACAGACACTTACTTTCACAATCTTATTAGTGTTGTAAATCCAGCAGCTCAAATCTTCATTGCTGTCCAGTTAGCCCTCGTCAACTAATAAGATCATTCTGAAGATGTTTAAACAACAAAATACATGTGCTTAAGGGTGGCAAGATGGCTCAGTAGTTAGCCTCACAGCAAGAAGGTCACTGGTCGAGTCCTGACTGGGCCAGTTGGCATTTCTGTGTGGATTTTGCATGTTCTCCCCATATTCGCACTGGTTTCCCCCACAATCCAAAGACATGCGGTATAGGTGAATTGGGTTAACAAAAATTGGCCTTAGTGTTTGTGAGTGTGTGTGTGAATGGGTGTTTCCCAGTACTAGGTTGTGGTTAGAAGGGCATCCGCAGCGTAAAACATATGCCAGAGTTGGCGCTTCATTCCGCTGTGGCGACCCCTGATAAATAAGGCACTAAGCCGAAAGAAAATGAATGAATGAATATGTGCTTAAATACATATATCAGAATGTGTACCTACACTGATCTCATTGTTAAGTTTCGTTATAATTATCATATTGATTATTGGTAGCATTATGATTATGCTTTCATCCACAATTAAAATTGTATTTCACAACACAAGAATACATTGTCTTTTTATACTAGCAGCCAGATGTATTATTTGTACCATTAATTTTACCTGTTTAAAGATACAAGTTTTTTTTTTAATTTACCAACAAAACTCAAGAATAGGCACAGAAGACGAAAGCAGCATTTAGAATTACATCGAGAGGGCTCTGGATGCAGACCTGGTGCAGTGCAATCTGAGCTGCATCCAATGCTTTTAAATGGGCTCACCTAACCCCACCCCTAACCCTACTCATCACAGTGATGTCACTCACTCCATTGAGTGTCTGACATTGCATCGCTGAGAGATGCAATCTCAGCTTGCATCATAAAGGATGCATCCAAATACTATTGATTACATCTGTCGCTGAACCGAACTACAAATCCCTTAATGCTCTGCATTCGCACACCAGTTTCAGCTCACCTCCTGAATACATACAGACAGCTGCAGTTCATCATCACTGACTACATAGCCTAGATAGAGACCATAAACACACATCCTTCACTGAGTCTTGTTTCACTGAGTGTGCATTACGTAAGCGTTTTCCCTGACTTGCTTTCGAACCTTGTGTTTGAACCTTTGTTTGTTTTATGTTAATGTTTGTTTTCACTGAAACAGTCAAAGCAAATGTGTCGATGCTTCAAACCGTTTCAAAACATGTCTCTACAGTTACACATAGTGATGATTTTTTTTTTAAGTATTGCTCTTAAACAACGTCAACAAATAAATAGTTGCAGAAATTGAGGAATAATAACCCATGTTGTATTGATAAGTGATTTAGTGGAGTGGTTAGTGTTTTTCTGCCCTCAGCCAAATGTACTTATTTAACCTATGCAACAAGCTAAACATAAATGGCTTCAGTAAGCACTCGTGAGACAGTGTAGCATTCTTCGAAGCTTTACTGATGTACCACTTGTAATAGTTCTTTCTTATTTTCTTTGTAAAACTGTAACAAACAATAATGACATGAATGTACATGTGGTGTACTTGTACATACATGAATATGACTATATTCCTACTTTTGCATGTCAACAATCAAATCAAAGTGCTAGCATTAACTAATAGTAAACATAATATGCTTCTAAACTACATAGTAGCATGTAGCTAGCACATGGGAAGACAGGTAGCTCCAATTACTTTACTAACAAATCTACCACACAGTAACACAAAAGTTGGTAATATTGCGAAACAAAGTTAGCAAACATAAGCAAATGATTTCACATTCAACTTACAGATCATGCCTTATCAAGGGCAGAATACCAAACAGTAAGCAGAGACAGAGCACGTCTTTCCACTGCAAGAGCTTGTACAAAATGCCTGCTTTGTTTTTCCTGTTCAGTGTCACTCGCTACATTTCACAATGATAATCAAAAGGACAATCGCAGAACCACTGCATTCCAATTTAATGACACCTTTTAAATTAAATTACTAAGAACTTTTACTTATGATACTCTTAATGCAGAAGAAAACATTAAGGGGCAGAATAGTGTTCCTGACTTGCATGCAGAAGTATTTGGTTTGAATCCAGGATGAAGAAATTATTATTATTAGTCATTTCAAAATGAGATGTTTTATTGCTCCATACTTGTTTTGTTTTGCAGATGTCTGACAACAATGAATGAACTCATTGTAAATAAATATGTGTCATTTTGGTCATAAAAAATCTACATTAATAAAAAACATTAAGTCACAATTTCTGAATGCTTGTAAATACTGGGATTCATACTCATGTCACTCGCAGCACAGCAGCACCCATGGTCCTCTAGGCTATGGGAGATTGTGGTTTTGTTTTCAACCCTCCCAACGAAAGGCGAATTCCCCAGCTTCCAGAAGGTAGTGATCAGTTGATAGTCCTGCCCTTTTCTTTATCCGAGTGTCCAAAACAGAGATCACAAACCTCTTGCCAAGGGTGTGTCCTGGTGTCTTGTGCACTGATGGACATCCTTGTGTTTGAACATCATGTTTGTTATGGACAAACTGTGACAAGCAAAGAAATCCAACAACAAAACCTACAGCTTGGGTCCAGATCAAGGAGGCCATTCCTCTCAATCACGCCTCACCGGGTATCACTGCCATTATCAACGTGGGTGTTCAAGACCCAAGTAGAAAAAGCAGCTTTCTAGCACCCCTCCCAAGGACTCCAAGAAAGCTGGGTACTCTGCAGTGGTGTTTGGCACATAAGCACAACCTGAAAGCACAGGGAGCACAGGTGACCCTCTCATTCACTGAGAAACAGCTGGAGAGCTACAAGCATGCCCACACCAGCCCTTTGACTCTCACTGTTGGCAACTCCAGAGTAGATGAAAGTCCAGACAGTCTTAAGAAGTTGACTTTTTAGTACCCAAACTGTGCATGGAGGTCAGAGCAACTATCTGTAATCGGTACAGCTCAACCTCCTGCACAAACTCAGGCTTCTTGCCTCCCAGTGAGGTGACATTCTATGTTCCAAGATCCAGTTTCTGAGTCCAAAGATCGGGTCATTGTGGTCCTGAGCTTTAACCACCTACTAGGCCTAGGCAGATATACTGTAAATATCTGACCCCCTACAGCTCCTCCTGCAGGTGGTGGACCTGCAGAAAGATGATTCAATGTCAGTTCTTTGGGCTGAGTCTGGCTGGGTTCCAATGGTTAACACTTGGCCACCAGGCACTCGCATTGGAGCTCCAGCCTCAGCCCTTGCTCAGGGGTTGTGCCCTGGCTAAATTATCTGAAATCTGAATTCCACTTAGTCTGACCTGTCACTTAGGACTGTTTGCCTTAACAGAGACCCTACCAGGGAAATTTAGCCCCCAACAACATAGCTTCTTGGATCACTCAGGCCCTCAAACCCCTTGGATCATGGAGAGAAAATAAACGAAAATCCTACAAATAGTAACTGAAAAGTAATATGAAATATGCTCAAACTCAATGTCATTCCTTATAGGTTGCTTTACGGCTCTTGTAGTTTGACTATAGTTATGACTATATTTTACCTGCAAAACTGCAGTATCTCACAGTAAGATGGCAGTTGAATATGGTTTATAAACTGTTAATGAAATAAAACCACAGTACAGTTACTGCGGTACAACAATATTACTACAACTGTTGTACATCTACAATATTACTATAATAAAACTACACTGCAAATGTTGTACATTTACAATGTTATATAAGACAAATGCAATGCAACTGTAATGCAACTACAGTCTTACATAAATAAAACTAAATTACCAGTATAATACAATAGCTTAAATACAACTTGAGTACAACAGCGTTACAGTAATAGAACTTAAATACAATACATACAGCCTATAACTGCAGCACAATGTTGGAAATTGCAGTAAACAATCATTGAAATACAAAGCTTAATTGCAGTTGCACTGTGTATACTTCGATATATTGTGCCAGTATTACAGTTTTACTAACAGTAAGTTACAGTAAGCATGTCGGTCTGAACTGATTGACTCAGTCTACACTTGCATGTCTGGACCAATCCTCTCCCCCCTCCCCCTCCCCCTCCCCTTGCTGTCTTTTGAAGTTGAGACTGTATTTAACTATTACAAGGAAAAGTTGTGCATGATGGAATCACTTGGCATATCTACTCTCAGATAGAGTACGTTAGTGTGGACTGAGCTTGTTACTTTGTAGTTTGAAAGTTAAAAAAAAAATCCAGGATTAAAAGCAGGGAATACAAAACTTAGGTGAGTGGAAATTTTATTTACATATTCTATGATGTGCATTTTAGAAAAAGTGGCTTAAATTGTCTTATTTCAGTTTTTATTTTTATTTTTTAAAAGCAATTAACAAGCACCATATGTATGTTAATATGCTATAATATACAAAAACATTCATTTAGTACTATACTGAAAATGCATATAAGATCTTTTCTCTGTGTCTGAATTGCATTGCTATATGTTGAAATATTTTTATCAGCAAAAATGTATGTGGGAAGTATAAAAGTTCTTTGTACAACTAAATACAATATAAAATGTTTTTTGGGTATGGCATAATGCTTTACTAAAAAAAATGGTTGTTCAGTTTAAACTGAAATGAGTTTTTAATAGTCATTTCTTCCTTTAAAATAAAATAATAAGAATAAAAATGTTGTTATTTAGAGATATTTTTTCCACTTGGTTAATATGTTCATTTGTGATGGAAAATCTAGGTTATTTCACCAAATATTTATTTCTTATTTGTTTTTTATCTTTTGTATTACCTCTTTTGAAGTTGGTATGGTGTTGCCTAAAGATGAACAAACATATGTGAAAAAGTATATACTTTTAAGTTTTTTAATGATTTTTTTGTAGATATATATATATATATATATATATATCTACAAAAAAATCATTAAAAAATATATATAATGAAGTGTTATGAACTGTATGATCTCTTAATTTTTCTTCCATGGCTGTACCTATAATCACTAGACCATCAAATATAAACCATTAAAATAAACTGTTAGCAGATATTAAGTAAACTCAATAAGTAACTCAAACCATTTGAGGAAACCGATTGCAACAAACCATTTGAGTTAAACAACTAATCTATATGAGTACTGTGAACGTACTGCATTTAAGTTGAAGTAATGAGGTATTTAATTAACTCATTACCTTCAACACTGAGTTCAAATCTCTTTTTGAATGAGTAGAATTAACTTTCGATAAACTTTGAGGTAACTACACTCATTTCATTAGCTAAAGTTGACTGCTGGATTTTACAGTGTAGAGAGCTTATATTGCAATAAATGGACAGAATGTCTAAAGAGCACCAAACAAAATAAAGTTACCAAACAATTGCATGTATATGTGTATAGGATTATGTAGCATCTGGTGTTTCTTTCCCCATGTTGACATATTTAAGATGCATCTCGCTTATCTTCCATCTGTTGTGTCTTGAAGCAGTTGAAAAAGACTGGGATTGTTGTGGGCTTTTTGCAGCATTGACTGCATTGTTTTTTCAGGCTCATTTCATACTGAGGAAAAGTGGACTGCTCGCTTTAATGTGCTTGTGCTTGTGTTGTCATCAAAACAAAACAAAAATCTGACAGGGCTCATAAACCTATTTATCTTTAGGTTTTCTTTTATCTCAGCTAATTTATAAATCATGTTTACCTTAATAAAAAGGAAGAAAAAAGCAGTTTGTAGATTCAGGTGTTGGTCCTGAAATGTATTTTTAATGATCGTTAAAAAAACATTTCAAGCAAGAAACAAAGTAAAAAAAAAAATGATGTTAATGTTAATACTTGGTTCAAGTTTGTTGAAATTGAAATGTGGTCAATTTTTTGCCTGGAATTGTTTGTTATGTTTACAATAATTACTTTGCAAAAATATGAAGTTAATACTGTCAATTAACTACAGGATTTCTGATACTGGTGTTCCCAGCATGCACCTGGGCATTTTGCTATTTGCAAGCTGTTTTTTACATTTACGTTTACATTTTGTCATTTAGCAGACGCTTTGTCCAAAGCAACTTACAATTGAGGAGGCATTCAGCGATAAACAAAAACAGGCAATACACACAATAAGTGCTAGTTATACAAAGTAACTTGTTTGTGTTCAGAGAATGGGCTGGATGCACAAAGACTTTTAATTTCAGCCAGTCAGCCTCAGCACCTCTGGTCAACTATCTTTCAATTCTAAAATTGCCACAATTAAGGTCTGATTTCTTTAAAAATCAGTGATCTTCACTGTACAAAAAGCACTGCATTAAATTCCACCCCCCACCCCCTCCGCCATGTCTTGAAAATATGAGTTTATTTTACTCCAGAAGTTTCTTCACTCACCTGCTGATCTTGATGGCACAAGTTACACTATCTTTTATCTCGTTTGAAGCTTGAAACACTAAATAAATGCTTAGTTCTATCTAGAGAAAGTGCTTCAACAGGTGGTCTTGGTTTTATTCACCGGGGGTTAAGGTGCTCTCGGAAGAGATGGGTTTTTAGTTGTCGTTTAAAGGATACCAGTGAATCTGCAGTCTGTGTGCGAGTGGGAAGATCATTCCACCAGCGTGCAACATTGAATGTAAAGGTTTTGGAAAGGGTTTTTCAGCAGTCAATGTGTTTCCTTTTGTGAAGTATCACTTTGTTTTATGACATCAGGACTTCCTTTTCAACTGAAAATGTCATATTCAAACGTACTACTATTATTCACATGTACAACTTTTACTCATACTTTTACTTTATTATTCAAAGTAAAGATAATACTTTAAAATGACTAAATTTAAAATGACAAAATGACTCAGTGCCTTAATGTTTGAGTAGATAGAGTACAAAGAGACATAAATGGATCTGAATATTGTTTATTTGAGTATTGCAAATAAACAATATTACATAACAGCAAATTTTCAATATTTTATTCAATATATGAAGTTTACTTTTAAAAGCTCTGTCTAAAAACTTGCTAAATAAAAAAGTAGCTTTTATTTTTAAAAAACCTATATACTGTAGCATTAAACATGTCCCTAACATTTACTGTTTGTATATCAGCAACTTATATCATGAACACAATACCCTTTTCGTTTTTTTTTTTTTTTTTTTGCAAAATAACAAAAAATACTGAATATAAATTGGGATGACTTCATATAGATTCGTATTCTTTTGCTGTCCTCCCTACATTTTTAGTCATTGAGAGATTTATGGAAAGTGGGAAATTTCCAAAATTCCTTTAAGTGACTTAGTAAAAGCCCAAGGATACATTATTACCTTGACTCAATTTAGTAAGAATGTCCTAGATGATATAGTTGAGCTGACTGCAAGCAGAGACACGTGTGACTGGACCATCTCAAATGGGAAAGGTGGGAAATCCCAAAGAAAGCTCTTTTCACTGCATGATCCAGCTGTTCCCGCAAAAAGGAAATTGTTAATGGTTTTGTGTGCGTGTGTTTGTGTGTTTGTGTGTGTGTGTATGTGTGTGTGTGTGTGTGTGTGTTTGTGCGCGTGTGCCTGTGTGTGTAATTTTTGGTGGTTTACTATTGCTTATTTTGTTTTTTTTTAGACACATCAAGACAAGTGCACAAAGATCTCTCTTATCCACACACACTATACTCCATATAGAAGGCAGAAACTAAGCCTTTTTTGCAGTGCAACTGACGATCAACAGTAAGATTTTATCTCTTTCCATCAAGGAAAACCACTAACTATCAAGAATGCATGATTACATGTTGTCATGGCTTTGCAATCAAAAGATGTCATTCTATTGGAAGTCAGTGGGGTATAAACAGCTATGAACATATGGAAAGGGTAGTACATTCTTGCATTTTTTTAAATTTCCAAATAGTTTTTTCCAAATTATGTAAGATTTGTCAACAAAAACTATTCCGTTTGCTGAAACACAGAGAAAGTTGTGGCCAAATTAAGCCTCAAAATCACCTCACATTGGATGAAACATCAAAACAAATAACATACAAGGGTTAATGTAAGTCAATGTTGCATATAGAAGCATATCATTAATCCAAAGGAAGTTTCTTTGAATGGGAATTTAAGAAAACTTGTGAGATTAAAGAGAAGTTGTATTATTTAGCTTTCACCCATATGACCAGTGCTGGGGAAAGGTACTTTTATAAGTAATGCATTACAATATTGAGTTACTCCCCAAAAAAGTAAGTGAGTAATGCGTTACGTTACTTTTGAGTTACTTTTGCGTTAATTTTGCGCTGGCTGAGGCTTGGGCTGTGTCCGAAATCAGAACGCTAAAATCAGTATGAGAGTTGAGTAGTGTCCCAAATTATAGAATTTAAAAAACAGTATCCGAGTAGTACCCGGATGACTTACTATTTTCGGCGACATTCTAAGGTGTTTATTCTATGGATACTACGATATCCTATGATGCACCATGAGAGAATTCATGAATGGGAGTGAAGTGACGCAACTGACATGGGTAGGTCACGTGAAAATGGCAGGCAAACTCCATTCATACTGCTTACATTCTTACTGTATAAAACATACTTTTCTAATGGTTAAGTAGTAAATTTTAAATTCAAAGCCAGTACCTACTGAGTAGTAGGTGATTTCGGACGTTTCATAACAGGATTTTCTTCTTATTCTTCTTCTTCTTCTATTTATTAATGCAGCATATAGCCTACACATTCATTTACCTTTAAAAAAACACATCAAAAAATAAAAAATGTAGGATTATCTTATCTTCTGAGAACTTCCTGACCCTCGAGCTATACATGCCGTATATACAGATTAATAAACGTGTAAAGTATTGTGTTTGCTACTTATTCACTTTTTGTCTTATTAGTAAAATCACTGTCCATTGAGACACTCCCGCCTACCTTTTCTATGATTTGTTCAGAATAAGGAGATTACTTCCATTGCAGAAATGTAAAGCTCATTCATTTTGGTTCTGGTCTGTTCCTGCATTCTCTCATTGTGTATGGGACTCAACTTGACTATGTTCATTTTATTTTAGTTATTTATTTTTTTATAAGCTAATTATTTAAACAATTAAGTAACTTGCATTACATTTCTTTAAAAAGTAAATATTTCAAATATTATTACTTAAATAAAAAAAAAAACATATCACCTTACTCGTTACTTAGAAAAGTAATATTATTATGCAATTCTTGTTATTTGTATTGCGCTAACCCCAACACTGCATATGACCCTCACAGTAAAGACACATTGTGTGTAAAAAAAGATGGAAAAAATAACTTTTTTTCGAAGTAATAAGATTATTCAAAGGCCATCTGGGCCATAATGTTAAATCCATCACTTTTCATAGGACGCAAAACTTTTTTTTCTCCTAAAACTTTACAAAGAGACTTGATGTAGCAATAAAGTTCAAACGTTACATTCTTCAAATTATTTGTTTTTATAGTTTCAAAAAATGATAAATATTTGTTGCTTTTAGTGCTCTTTATTGTTGCTCTGTTCCTCATTTTGTTGGTAGTTTTGATTGAAATTAGCTACTGAATGATGAACTGCAAATATATTCATATATTATGAATTTCAAAATTTTATATTGTCAAAATTAACTTTCAAATTTCTCCAGCTGTGTGTACAAAAGTGAATACAAACATTTTCCTTTTCCTAATAAACTATATTACAATTTTGCAAAGGTGACGATACGGTGGCGCAGTGGGTAGTGCAGTCGCCTTACAGCAAGAAGGTTGCTGGTTCGAGCCCCCATTGGGTCAGTTTGCATTTCTGTGTGGAGTTTGCATGTTCTCCCCTTGTTCGCGTGGGTTTTCTTCCAGGGGCTCTGGTTTCCCTTACAAGTCCAAAGACATGCACTATAGGTGAACTGGATAAGCTATATTGTCCGTAGTGTATGTGTGTATAAATGAGAGTGTATGGGTGTTTCCCAGTACTGGGTTGGACCTAGAAGGGCATCCACTGTGTTTAACATTTCATTTCATTTCATTTTCTGGTCAGCTTAGTCCCTTTATTAATCTGGGGTTGCAACAGCGGAATGAACCGGCAACTTATCCAGCAAGTTTTTACGCAGCGGATGCCTCTCCAGCCGCAACCCATCTCTGGGAAACATCCACACACACATTGACACACTACGGCTAATTTAGCCTACCCAATTCACCTGTACCACATGTCTTTGGACTGTGGGGGAAACCGGAGCACCCGGAGGAAACCCACGCGAAGGCAGGGAGAACATGCAAACTCCACACAGAAACGCCAACTGAGCCGAGGTTTGAACCAGTGACCCAGCGACCTTCTTGCTTGAGGCGACAGCACTACCTACTGTGCCACTGCCTCGCCTGTATTAAACATATGCTGGATATATTGGCAGTTCATTCCGCTGTGGTGTGACTCCAGATTAATAAAGGGACTAAGCCGAAAAGAAAATGAATGAATGAATGAATACAATTTTGCAAACACTGCACTTTTTCATAGTTTGGCCGGAAATGCTGTGAATGGTTTGCCCATGCATATGCAATCACTTATCATAATAGAAAGCTTGGTTTCTCTTGTGAAAAAACACACTTAAGCATGCATTTAAAAAAGAGGAGTGCGTGTTATAGAAATGATAGACTTTAAAAGAATCAGGCCCGGGCATGTAGATGAAGGGAGGTTAAATGGATCCAGTTTGAGATACTCTGTAAGGCATAAGAACTTCTAACAACAGTGTGCTAAAAGCAAACAATACCAGATGAAGAAGAGAAGGAACTAAAGGCAGTAAATAGAAAGTGTAACCAATGATTTAAATAAGGAGCATGTGGAGATAATCAGTGAAGCAACAAGTAATTATGACAACAAATGAAAACATTCCTACAAACCATGACAACTGAACGGAAACACATGAAACAGTGCATGATGAAGAAACTGAAAGCTGAATGTGACAATACGTAGCACAGAAAGAGATTTTTGGAAATGACTAAAACTGAAGCTTTAAGTCGTTTTCAGAAGTCATGTTTTTCACATTGAGTATGGGTTATCTGCAAAGCTGGTGTATCTTCCTATAACAGTAAACTTCCGGTGAATGGTTATTTTGACTCTTTAAAAAAATTATAGGGTTCCTTTCACAGCATAGATGCTGCAATATAATTTAAATAAAAATGACTTTAGCGTTCATTTAGTTGTTCAAGTGTAAAACAAGATTAAAATAACTGTTCATATTTTAAAGACATGGCATGGAAAAATGAAATTCAATGCAGTGCTTCTTTTACATTCTGAGACCCACTTTATATTGTATATCAGTCATGCAATGAAGATTATTGATTTATAAAGAAAACAGACCTTAAACATGCAGATTTTTTAACGGCATACAGTTCACCGGAATTGCATTTATTTAAAAATTAAATGTCATTATGCGTATACTTCATAGAGGTATCATTTGCATAAAGTTCTGAAAAAATTCTTGTTGAACTCTTCTCATCAAAATAAGTGTACTTCTTAAAAAACTTGCAAAAATAATGAGACTATGAATGTTTAGTTTGATATTATAAATACAATCAACATTTTTTGTAAGTGTCTTGAAAGAGTTGACTATAAGTGATCTTAAAAGGATAGTTGAAAAAACGTACACTGCATTTACTCACCCTCAAATAACTTCATAAACATATCAAATAACTGTTAAACATATTCTAATATTCAGAAAAATGCTGTAGAGCTGATTGCCATTGACTTGTAATGTTTCATAATAAGTTGAAACTGGTTGGAACAAGTGAAGGGAGAGTAAAGTATGACATTGTTCTTTTTTAAAAGAGCTATCCCTTTTAGTGGCCTTTTAATTTCATTCATTCATTCATTCAGATACTTTTTGGCTTAGTTTCTTTATTAATCAGAGGTCACCACAGCAGAATGAACCGCCAACTTATCCAGCATTTGTTTTACACAGCGGATGCCCTTCCAGCTGTAACCCAACATTGGGAAACGCCCAAACACTCTTGCCTTTGCACACATACACTATGGCCAGTTTAGCTTATTTAATTCACCTATAGCGCATATCTTTGGACTGTTAGGAAAACCAGAGCACCCGGAGGAATCCCAGGCAAACACGGGTGAACATGCAAACTTCCACACAGAAATGGTAACTGGGTCAACCTGGGCTCAAACCAGCGATCTTCTTGCTGTGAGGCGATTGTGCTGCCCACTGCATCACTGTGACATCAGTCTTTAATTTATATATTATAAAAAAATTACTCCATGCATGATCAACTAGATCAATGTGCTAAGCATTGTGTTACAAAGAATTTGGCTGTAGGTTTAAAACCAGCATTGGGCAGCATTCATGAGTTTCTTTGGGGCGACATGGTGGCTCAGTGGTTAGCATTGTTGCCTCACAGCAAGAAGGTCATGGTTTGAGTCCCTGCTGGGTCAGTTGGCGTTTCTGTATGGAGTTTGCATGTTCTCCCGTTTTCGAGTAGGTCCAAAAACATGGGCTCTATGTGTGTGATAAAAAAAGGGGGTATATTATTGTATCCTACTATTGGTTTGCAGCTGGAAGAGCATCCATTGTGTAAAACATATGCTGGATAAGTTGGTGGTTTATTCCGCTGTGGTGACCTCTGATTAATAAAGAGACTGAGCCGAAGGAAAATAAATGAATGTTAAAAAAAAAACTCATTGCTTATATAAACAAGCACACTTCTGCAGATTTTACCCACTGAACAATTGCAGGCAATGTTCTGTCAACCAAACGATCTTTCAATTCAATTTCCTATACAGTCACATTATTTAAAATCATCTGCCAAAATTTGCACTGCCAACTAATAAGTATTGTTTCTGGTTCAATCTGCTCTTCCATAGAAGCGTCTGAAGGCCATGCCAGGGCCAGATGGACACAGTGATTTGGGTCCTTGCAAAAACCTTGCTGTGCCCAAATCCTTCTTTCCTCCTAAACCTTCAATTACGGGTGAGAAATGGCACACAGCCTTAGACTTTATTTTGAGGGGAGATGCCCAGGAGAAGATCCACCACCGCTGGGCTAGTCAGCACTCCACACCAGTGGCACAAAACATACACCAAAGAGTTGCCGATGAAGGTCTCATCAGTCCCACGAGGATAAAACCAGTACCGAAACCTCGTCTGCTGAAGTCACAGTCTCATACTGACCAGCAGCAGTCTTTCAATGATAGCAACATGAATTATTTTGGATCTGCATCAGGTACAACACACAGATTCTTTGAACCTTAAACCCACTGGCTACATTTATTTATTACACATGTAAAAAGAAATTTCCTTTGCCCAGTGAATTGTTGCCTCAGTTAGCAGCTTTTAGCTGTCCGGAGCATCACTGCTGTGTCTTCTGCTGCTGTAGCTCATCTGCTTCAAGGTTTGATGTGCAGTGTGTTCCGAGGTGATCTTTTACGTAACATTGATTATACCCAGTGGTTATTAGAATTGTTGTAACCTTTTCATAACAATATTTGTATGTGTTTTTCACCCGTATTGTACAGTGTGGGGTTTCCAGATAACAAAATATCTTGGTTCTTAAAAGTGTATATGCGTGCAAGGTTACAAACATTTTTTGTAACTCAATGTGCATTTCTGTCTGCCCTATCTGTGTGTGTGTGTGTTTAAGTTTCATTGTTTGTCCTGTCTAGCACATGGCTCAAGCCTGGTTTATATTTCTGCGTCAAGTGACCGGCGCAACTCACGGCGCAGGCATCGCGCGCAGCTGTGCATTTATACTTCTGCGCGCTGTCTCCGTTGGTCTGCATTAACACTTCCGAAACGCTAGTGGGCAGTGAGGTGTAAATGTTCCTCTGTGTCGAGTTTCTTCGCTTCTTTTTGCTATTCTGAACACTTCCTGGATGTACAAGTGACTCAAACTCGCTCATTTTAAGGCAGGAACCGGCAGACGTGCAACAACTTTAACCATGAGGTAAACAAAGAACAAAACTTTCCATCCGGAGCTTCACGGGACTCCACACTTGTAAACAATCGCTCGCGCCATTCGCGCAGGCTTTCGGTCCCGCCCAGACTCGTCGGCGCTAGCAAGTCGACCAATCACAGAGCTTGCGCTACGCGTTGTTGCGACGTGTAGTTACAATTTTTGAGAGGTGCACGTCAGTGACGGCGATGGCCACGGCGAAGGGCTATGCGTCAGCGCCGTAGCCTACGCCGGTGTTTGACGCAGAAGTATAAATCAGCCTTCAGTCTTTGTTTGTGTCTGACATGTGCTATTCTGTTCCACCCATCTTGTTTCCCTTTACCACACCCCCTTGTTTAGCTCTTATCTGGTCCTTGATTTTATAAGTGTTTTCACCTGGTTCTTGTGTGCTTTCCTCTCTTTATATTGTGCTGTCTTCTCTCATGTCTTTGCTTGTTTCTTTTGTTCTTTCTGCTTAGCATTCAAGAATCAAGAATCTTGTCTAGTTTATGCTTGTATTTGTATCCTTGTCTATTGTTATTCCTTTTTTATTTTTTTTCTCCTAGTTGTTTATTGTTGTAGTGAAGTTTTAATTTAGTTTTATTTATTTTGTCTGAAATCAATTTCTTCTATTCTAAAGTTTTGATTTTGTTTTGTTTTTTGTCTCAACAGTGTAAGAAGATTTGCTTAAACTTTTATCATTTAGTTATTTTGATGTATTGTTTTACTTTCTAGTTTCTCTCTCCTGTTTGTCTTTGTGTGTTTGCATTCTGTTCCCTTGTCCTGTTTTTATTTATTTATTTTTTTATACAACCTGTGAAATCCTGGCTGCTAATTGACTGCTGGGCTGGTACGGAGTCAGCCATCATCTCTGCATGGAACAGCCCCTTCCTTATCAGCCTCCCTACCTGTGATTGTCTGTGCCCAATTATCATTTGGTCTTTGGGAATGCATTGGAAAACTCGAATATGCATGTGACATGATTTTTTAGGAACTTTAGTTACTGTTCGTTTAAACTCTGCTGAAATATAACCTTACATGGGGTTATATCCTGAACGTTTTGTCCAATAATCATCATCTTTTGTGGATTATAATTCAAGGCAAGTCTATATAAAAAGCGTGAACCTGCAGACTGAGGCACAAAACGCCTGGAAAAAGTTTATAGAACATAAGATTATGCATAATAAATGCCAATACATGGATGGGTTTTCTGCTCATTGTCATTGATAGATAGTTTTTAAGAGTTTAGAGTTCAATCATTTTATTTAAATGTCTATTTCTATTTGTTAATTTGTTTTCTGAAAATTTTATTAATTAAAAAAATTATGAAAAATGAACAATAGAGTATACAGTAAAACGTATAAAATGTAATTGTATAACATATTCCATATAGAAATTATGTATGGAAATATATACAAATTATATAATGACATTGAAGTGCAGGTTCAGATTTCACATATTGTATAAAATGTCATTTATGCAACATGGATTGACTATATTTAAAAATATAGCAAACAATGGCCATTTACACACATTGTTTTTCAATGACTGGAATATAGGCTATGAGTTAAAATATATTAGTGACCATTTTAAATATGTTTATATATGGAACCAACGACCATACCACAATCATAATCATTTAAATCATCTTTCATTCATCCTGGCCCTCATTTTAAAATTAACCAGATCTTTTTAACCACGTTTACATGCCTAAATGCATTGTGTTTCTGCCATGTGGTTGGCTGATATATTTATGTTAACAAGCAGTTGATTAAGTGTACCTAATAAAGTGAGCGTATTTGAAAAGTATACTGTCATATTCTGAAAATAAACTCCCAGTAGATTAACATGGACTGCTTCCTACTGCTACAAAGGCAGATGTGAGCAAATCTGGCAAACTTTCACCAGTCTGTTTCCACAGATGGGAAGAATAATGATACTCATTTGGAAAACTGGCACATTCAACCAAAAACTACCTCACATAAATCAAAACGGATCCCTCCAAGCATACCTGTACCTGCCAGGCCCCTTCCCAAAGAGCCGGCGCAAGTGATCTCAGTGACGGGTGAGTGTTCATTTAGCTGTACTGTAATGATTTAAATTTACTCTTTATTGCTTTTTTGACTATTAAGCATCTTAAGAGCCAAAACCCTAACTACCGCCATACTGAGAAAAAAACACATTTTACTAAGCATGTATTAATCCATATTAGGCGGCACAATGGCTGAGTGGTTAGCACAAGAGGGTCGCTGGTTTGAGTCCCAGCTGGGCCAGTTGGCATTTCTGTGTGGAGTTTGCATGTTACCCCTGTGTTCACGTGGGTTTTCTCCGGGTGTTCCAGTTTCCCCCACAGTCTAAAGACGCACTGTATACTATTAAAGTCAGAATTAGCCCCGCTTTGATTTTTTTTCTTTTTTAAATATTTCCCCAAAGAAGTTTAACATAGCAAGGACATTTTTACAGTATGTATGACAATATTTTTTCTTCTGGAGAAAATCTTATTTGTTTTATTTTGACTACAATAAAAGCAGTCTTAGGATCAAAATGATTAGCCTATATAAGGTATTGTTATTTCCAATAGTCTACAGAACAAACCATCATTATACAATAGATTGCCAAATTTCCCTAAACTGCCTAGTTAACCCAATTAACTTATTACACCTTTAGATGTCACAGAAGTGTCTTAATAAATATCAACTAAAATCATCAAGTCAAAGATAAAATAAATCAGTTATTAGAAATGAGTTATTAAAACTATTATGTTTAGAAATGCATTGAAAAATCTTCTCTCGGTTAAACAGAAATTGGGGAAAAATAAACAGGGGGGCTAATAATTCAGAGGGGCTAATAATTCTGACTTTAACTGTAGGTGAATTGGGTAAACAAATTGACTGTTGTCAAAGAGTGAGTGTGTGAATGCGAAAGTGTATGGGTTGCGGTTGGAAGGGCATCTGCTGCGTAAAACATATGCCGGAATAATTAAGGGTTCCATCCACTGTGGTGACCCCTGATGAATAGGTGACTAAGACAAAGGAAAATTAATGTTTGAATAATCCATAAGTGCACCTCTATTGTGTAACTCTTTCTTATTATGAGAATATATTTGTCAGCGGTTTCATTTGGAGGCTCTTGTGTTTTTCTCTTTTTTTCTCTCTTTTTTTTTTGATTAAGAATCTACAAATGACTATGATGATGGAGTTTATATGGATATAGACTCTTCACCAACCCAGTCTGAATGCTTTAGCTCAATAGTTGTCCACAATACTCAGTCAGGTACACAAAATCATCCATCATTATCAAGACGAAATATTATTTCATCATTGATTCTAGCCTTGTAACTTGTAATTTCTCTCCAGGTTCTGAGGTTTGTCCTGATGACAGACCACTTTTACCTCTCTGTCTGTCAAAACCAAATCTTGCTTTCAAGTTCCAGAATAAAAACAATGTTGAGCACAATGAAGCCGGATCATTTCACAACACCATCAAGGATAATTTGGTTTCTGAGCTACAAAAAAGATTCTCAGGATCAATTAAAGAGAGAGATTTAAGCACCAAAAAGACAAACGTTCTTAAGACTAAAGGAAATTGCTCTCCCAAACTGTTTAGTAGCTCTCATTTGGAAATGATCTCAATGCTCTTCCACATGAAGAAACTGACTGAAGTAGACCGGCCACTTGAAACTGTAGCTATGCCAGCTGTTTCCAATGGTCCAAAGAGTCCAGAGGATATTTCTTTAATTGTAAAATACCAAGCAACAGAGATGGAGAATCTCAATGAAAGTTCTCTGAAAACTCCAACAATGCTTCCTCTTCCTGGTTTGGTGGACAAACTTATAAAATATCCTTCTAACAAAACCTTCACGTGTGGTGATAATCTGAAAAAGCCTCTGGAACAGTTATGGCAAGAGCGAAGTATCGTAAGAAACAGTGGAATACTAAGTCGACTCAATATGGAGCAGCTAAGGCTTCAAGAGGTACCTTAAACTCCATAAAAGTAACAGAAACACTTTATAAGCTGTTTTCATGACCTCAACTCTGTTCTCTCTCAATATTCTTTGCTCCGGTCTGGTTTCACACTCCTCCAGCATCTGTATGAGGTTGTCATATCCGAGCAGGTTTATCTTCAGAGCTTGGCCATGACTGTGGAACATTTTCAGGAATCTTCAGTTTTGAAAGAGGCTCTGGCACCACGAGACAGGAAGTCATTGTTTTCTAGCATTGCAAAAATTAAAGAGATCAGTCAAAGGTAAGAACCAGCCAGGTTATTTGTTTATCAAGAAATTACAGTGAATAAATGTACAAAAGTACAATGAATACAATCAGATTTTTTTCTTTCCTACTTGTGTCTGATGTCATATTTAGGAAACAATAATGTTGGAACTATATATGTAACCCCAAATCAGAAAAGGTTGTAAATGAATAAAGAAGAGAGTAGTGATTTAGTGTGTTCCTCGTGATTTTTATTGCGTTGGTGTTTTTTTTTTTTTTTGTTTTTTTTTTTTTTTTTTATAAATTCCTGTATTCTAATTTTAGTTCTTTCAACACATTTCATATATGTTGGGACAGGAGCAATTTAGGTCTAGTAATCAGGTAATTGCTTGAATAATGATGTGATTTGAAACAAGTGATGTCAACAGGTGATTGTAATTATGATTTAATACAAAAGCAGCATCGAAAGGTCCAGTCCTTTAGGGGCAAAGATGAGCTGAGGTTTGCCAGTTTGCCAACAAACACATGAGAAAATTATAAAAAAAAATTAAAAACAATGTTCCTCAACGAAAAATAGCAAAGACAGTTGGATATTTCACCTTCAACAGTGCATAATAAAATTAAAAGATTCAAGGAATCTACAGGTATTTCAGTGCATAAAGGACAAGGGTGCTAGCCTAGGCTACCATGATCTCTGATCCCTCAGTACTGTATCAAGAATCGTCATTCATTTATAAATTGTATCACCACATGGGCTTACGACTACTTTGGGAAACTTTTGTAAAGTACTACAATACGTAGTTACATCCACAATTGGCAGTTAAAACAAAAGGAAGCCTTAAATTAACAGTGTCCAAAAACGCGGCTGACTTCTCTGAGCTCGGGGGCATCTGGGATGGACCATCACACAATAAAAACATGTACTGTGGTCAGATGAACCAGTATTTCAGTTATTTAAGGAGAATTGAATGCTGTGTGCTCTGGAGGAAAAAAAAAAAAAACGTCATCCAGACTGTTAAAAGAAACAAGTCCAGAAGCCAGGGTCTGTCATGGTACAGTACTTCTTTTCCAAGGACGCCCATGCATATTTCAATAAGACAATGCAAAACCATATTCTGCAAATCCTTTCTGTGGAGGAAGAGGATACAGGTACTTGACTGGCCTTTCTGTAGTCCTGACCTGTCTCAAATAGAGAATGCGTGGTGCAAATTGAATCACAAAATGCAACAATAAAGACCCCATACTGATGCCCACTTTGTTTGCAGAAAGAACGGGACAAAATTACACCTGAAACACCTTATCATTTGCTGTCGTCAGTCCCTAAACCTCTTTTTAGTGTTACATTAACATCTTTTAAAGTAGTAAATGTTTAATTGTTCAAACTGTTTTTGAAATGTGTTGCAAGAACCAAAATATGTATATAATTATTAATTATGTGTTAATTTTGAAAAAAAGAAAACAATAAATATCATGAGGAAACATTAAAAGATGTTTGTTGTATTGTTTGAAATGAAATACAATCAATGTACATTTAGAAATCACTTTCTTTCCATACTGTATCAATTTTTTTATTTTTTTTTTTTTATTTGGAGTTGTACAAAGTAGTTGGACAACTAAGTCACATTCAAAAATATATAAATGTATTTGCATTATTTAAAAAAACTTTAAATACAAATGATGAAACAAATATTTATAATAAATTATATGCATTTTTGTGCATTTAAAGGATAAATTCTTCCAAAAACAGTTTTGTACATGTTTATACTCACCCTCAAGTTCCCTCAAGTTCACCCTCTAAAGTTTCTTTTATCTGCTAAGCTTTTTGCCAAAAGTGTCCAAACTGTTTTTGAGGCAACAGTGTTGCTGATACTGTATGTGTATTAACTACGTTTTTGATTTTTCTAATGTATCTGTGCAAATTATTTTCATAGCTTCATGGATGCATTGCTATTGGCGCTGTCTTCAAATTTGTTCTGCGATGGTGTCTGTGATGTTGTACACCAGTATGCACTTGGACCCTTTGATGCTTATATAACTTACATCCGTAATATGCCCTATCAAGAACAGACATTACACAACCTTGGGTAAATAAATCATGTTTTTAATGTTTATTTAATGTTGTTGATGTTATCACGGACATTAACACGAACCACCAAAGTAGTAATGTTGACTGTTTTTAAATGTTGCATTGGTATGACTGTTATTTGTTATTACATACTTATTTTCTGAGTTTATATTTAAACCTGTAATTAGCTACAACAAAGGGGTTTTGTGATCTACAACATTTTTACATTCAATGGGCTCTATTTTAATAATCTAGGCGCAAAGTCTAAAGAACATGGCACAAAAGCATTAAGGGCGTGTCAGAAAAATACGCATTGTGCCACGGCGCATGGTTTAACAGGGTTGTGCTTATTCTCTCAATGAGTTATGGGTGTGTTTTGAGCATAATGTGCATTAAACCAATCAGAGTCTTATCTACCATTCCCTATAAGAGTCAGTTGCGCTCCTCCACAGCACATTTGCAATTTACATGGCTGACTTCGTAAGTGTAAAAACTGAATGCTTCACCAGCGAGAAAACAGTTAAAAAGACCATCTGCAGCGCGAGGATAAAGAATAAGCCTCCTCCATTCATTTTTTTTCTCTTTAGTTTACTTTTACTCTTTACTTCAATTCTTTACTTTCGTGGAGTACAGGAACAGCCAACAAAACTACTTCTAAATTAAGACTCGAGGTCAAGAAGGCATGGAGGCAGGGGTTTTTATATTTATGTAAAAAATATAATTTTGTAATAGTTTAATCTTTTTTCACATATAAAGATATTTGTGTATTGCTTTATTAAGCAATGTGTAAGCGTTTGAACCCGCATAGGTTCATAACTAATGCACTCTAGACTTTAGACTAGCTTTTAGTTGATTAATTGCACAGTGTATTCAGTTCCTTTGTCCAGTGGCTCATAACAAATCCATTTATGCATATTGATTACAATGGAGGAAACTCAGTTGTTTTGAATAATCCAAATCATCATTGAGTCCAGAAGTCATCTAATGACCTCCATTTCCATTCAAGAGTTGAATAGAATTCTGCCAGTTGTATAGTACTAAAAAGTATACAGTTTGAAAACATAACCTGATTTTTAAATATGCTGCACTCTTATCAGAAAAGAGAGTCCTCAGATTTTGGAGATCTTGCATAAACTGCAGGAAGACCCTCGATGCAACCGACTTTCCCTTAAATCCTTCCTTTCCCTGCCATTTCAGAGGATAACACGACTTAAAATTCTAATGGAAGTAAGTGATCTTCAATTGTTTTTAAATGTTACATCACATGTTATGCTAATACCAACATAGGCTCATTCTGAAAGCCTTATATACATTTCTGGAGATTGCGCGTTATGTAGACAGAGGAACGTCTTTAAAACGAACACTACAGGGCAGTATGTTGCTGTTCCTTTTCACGCTCAGCTAACCGCTTACCTTCATGTTGACGGTTTTTGCTGCTGTTACCAGTTTGTCCAGTGGCTCATTGCATTTTTCTGAGGATTTGAGATGCAGAGTGGAGTTCACTGTGAAAACGGGGCTCAAGTCAGGCAAAAAGCGGTTCCAGGAAGTAGGTAAGACAAAGACAAAAGACAAAAAATAAAACAAGTAAATAACAGGGTAAGAATGTGGTAAAATATAAAAACATGGTAAAAATCAGACGAGGGCTTTTCTTTTTCTGGATTGCTTTTCAAAACACTATCGGTTGGGTTTAGGGAAGGAGGTGGGTGGGGTAATCAGTTGGTTAGTTAGTCGGTCAGTCAGTTAGTCAGTTAGTCAGTCAGTCAGTCGACAGCAGCCTCTGGTGTATTTACCCGAGAAGAGCAGGCACGAATGGCACTCACAGTGAGTAATTTGAGATCTCAAAAAGCATACACAGTGGTCTCTGGTGAATTCACAAAAATAAAAACTGTAAAAAAAAAATAAAAAAAGTAACTGCTGGGATGTATTTTAAACACTCCAGAAATGTATATAGAGGTACGTAATCAGAATGAGCCTGAGTTGGCTAATACAGTCATGCCAATGCAATGCAGACTATCCAGAAAAAGGCTGTTCCAGGATCAGACTGTGGGTCCGCAGCATTTAGAGCTTTGACAGAAATCTCTAAGGTATGAATGACAAGTGGACCCGCATTTCATTAATAAACACTACTGTGTGTAAACATCTGTTTGCTGCATGATGTTGTGATTTGTTTGCCTACAGCTGCTGGAGGCCTGCAACTGGCAGGTGGGAAGAATGAAACAGATGGAAGAAATTGTGCAGATTGCTAACAAGATTGAGTTTGCCTGCAAGGTAGTTTCAGGCGGTATTTTAAATGTATTTATTATTGATGTTTAATGTGAACACTACAAAAAAGGGGTTTCTTGCTTTGTATTTTGTATGTTTATGTTCTAGTAAAAATATTTCGATAATATTTTCCAGTACAAATATTGAATTAAACTGAGTAGTAGAATTACAAATAATAATGTTCCATTAAAAAAAGTTCCTACAATGAGTTTAAAGGTCCTGTAAAGTGCTTTGAAATATAATTTTTTTGATTTAATGTTTGACAATTTTAACTGAAAAATGAAAAGAGGGTGGGACATAGATGAGCTCCTCCCCTTTAAAAAACAGCCAATAGCCTCTTTTTTTTAATCTCAGCTCTGACAATAAGAGCAGTTGAAATCAAACACATCAAATAAAAAGGAAGTGTGAAGAGTCTTGAAGAAGGCGGAGCATCAGATACTACAGAGCATTTGATTGGTCAAGATTTGATGAGAAACTGAAGTTTAAGGTGACATGAAAAAAATCCATATAAATGGAAGTGACAAACTGCACTTTTTGGAGTGGCTCATTTTTCTTCTAGTATACTTCAACCATTTTTGAACCCATTCAGCCGATTTCTTGTTCTGGCACGGGTCACTTTTAGCTTAGCTTAGCGTGATGAATTGAATCAGATTTGACCATTAGCATTTCGTTCAAAAAGGCAACGGTGGCCGAGAGAGCTTAAAGTGCTGCAATTTAGGAAATCACATGGAATTACAAAAAAAAAAAAAAAAACAGCAGAAAATTAAAAAAAGATCTTCATCTGTTTGACAGCACACATGCTGCAAATTGTCACAATGCAAACACATTTAAAAAAAACTGCTGCATTTTCTCACAACGCAACCAAATTAATGAAACATGCTGCATTTTGTGCCATAACTGCAACCACATAACCGTTTACAAAAATGTGCTGCATTTTCTCACAACACTTTGAAATGGCACGGAACCCAATGGAAATGTGAGGACCCTAAAACGTGACCAAACCAGCTATTTAGGTTATGGTTATTTAGGCTAATAAAATACAAAAGACAAGGAAATCCGGATATTAATATAAACAAACAAAAACTCACCATTCAAAATGATGTGAGAATAGTGTTGTGTAAATGTCCCTCAACATAGTAGGAAGTATCTTTAATGATTCTTTGAAAAATGTAGTCTCTTTTAACCCCTCCATTCTGAAAGATTCTATTCTGCTGTGATTGGTCAGATGGCCCAATATGCTGGTCTACTACTTACAGCATAAGTAAAGCCCAACAAACATTATCATATCGCTCAGAGAGCTCCAGATATTGTTAAGTGTTAGTGAAGTAAATACTGTTTGTTGGGCATTATGCAATTATGTAACAATATGCAAATTTGATTCAAACTTATGTCGGCTTATACAATGGAAGGAACTAAAATAATAAAGGACAACTCGTTTCAGGCACTTCAGAATCCCCTTTTTTTGGGGGGGGGGGGTGGTAATAAGTATCATGGACATTGATATTTTAAACCTTTACATTTACTAACAGCTATAACGCACTATATGAAAGAAAAATATAATGGGGCAGTGCACTGTAAGTCTTGTTTTAAGAAAAAAAAGTATGACCTTTTTCTTGATTTAAGAATAAATTCACTTCATTTAAATGCGTTTTTGTATAGAAAGAAACAAATATCTGTAACTTTGCTTCTCTACTGAATCCATCTTTTAAAAATAATATTTGCACCATAATAATGGGAAAAAACTGGATAAATATCTGTGTAAGAAAATAATTTGTTGTGTCAATTTCCTGAATGTATATGTCTGTATCTCTCTCTTAGGCCCTGCCTCTTGTGTCTTCTTCTCGCTGGCTTGTGAAACAGGGAGATTTGCTTCAAATTACTTCAAAGGAAAACATGTTCGGTCAGAGAAAGCTGTGTCCTGTACTTCTGCTTCTCTTTAATGATTTACTGCTGGTGGCCAACAGGAAAGGGTAGGAGAGCCGGCTTCAGTTAAATTATCTCATTTAAATGAAAACTGGCATACTGAAGGTTTTCTCTTTAGAAAGACATATAATTCTTTTAAGCTATCTTCTACCATCTTCAGTTTCTGTAGGCCCCCGCTAATTGACTTTTTGAAATTTGATGCTGTTTTCACATGGAAAATAAATAAAACCTAATGTCTGAAATGTTACACAGTAAATCAAGGTGCAAAAAGGATATTGGTCAAAGATGAAATGTCTCATTATGGCGTTTTTGTCAAACTAAATTAACAAAGGTGAAATGCCAATGTATTCTTAATTGTTTGGTAACTCTTTATTTGGATGGTCCATTTGAGTATTAATAGACTGTTTGCTTAATATCTGTTGATCCTTCAGCGGACATTTAACTGACTATAAGAAACTTTGCAAGTACAGTTGAAATCAGAATGATTAGCCCCTCTTTAATTTTTTTTTCCCTTTTAAATATTTTCCAAATGATGTTTAACAGAGCAAGGAAATTATCAAAGTATGTCTGATAATATTTTTCTTTTGGAGAAAGCCCCTTTAAGCTACATATTTTTTCAAAAGTCATTATACAATAACCTGCCTAGTTACCCTAACGTGCCAAGTTAACATAGTTAGTTAAGCCTTTAAATGTCACTTTAAGCTGTATAGAAGTGTCTTGAAAAATATCTAGTATAAAATATTATTTAATGTCATAATGGTAAAGATAAAATAAATCAGTTATTAAAAATAGTTATTAAAACTATTATATTTAGAAATGTGTTGAAAACATCTTCTCTCTGTTAAACAGAAATTGGCTAAAAATAATAATAAACAGGAGGGCTAATAATTCAGGGGGGCTAATAATTCTGACTTCAACTGTACATGTCAACTTACACTAACTCTAACCCCAACCCCAACAGTCTACTTATAATCTAATGAGAACTTGTTGGCATGTAGATGCATTCATTTTCTTTTCTGCTTAGTCCCTTATTAATCTGGGGTCGACACAGTGGAATGAACCGCCAACTTATCCAGCATATGTTTTACGCAGTGGATGCCCTTCCGGCTGCAACACATCTCTGGGAAACATCCATACACACTCATTCACACACATACATACGTACAATTTAGCTAACCCAATTCATCTATAGCGCATGCTTTTGGACTGTGGGGGAAACTGGAGCACCCTGAGCAAACCCACACGAACGCAGGGAGAACATGCAAACTCCGCACAGTAACGCCAACTGACACAGCCGAGGCTTGATCCAGCGACCTTTTTGCTGTGAAGCGACAGCACTACCTACTGTGCCACCGCGTTGCCTTGTTAACTTAATAGTTTTTACATATTTAAGTGGATTGAACATAAAACAATTAAGTTTTCCCTAAAAACTCTTGAAATGTTATGTTTTAGCTTATTTAAATGAGTAGTGTAAGCAAACAGCAAATGCCTCTTTTCAGTGTAGCATATATATATATACAGTTGAAGTCTGCAACAGTTGTGACCTCCGGTCAGTTTATTTTTCTTTTTTAATATTTCCCAAATTATATTTAACAGAGCAAGGACATTTTTCATAGTGTATTTCCTATAATATTGTTTCTTTCGGAGAAAGTCTTATTTGTTTTATTTCTGCTAGAATAAAAGCCATTTGAATTTTTTAAAGCCATTTTGAGGTCAAAATTATTAGCCCCCATTTTTTGATTGTCTACAGAACAAACCATCATTATACAATGATTTGCCTAATTACCCTAACCTGCCTAAAACCGAGTTAACCTAGCCTTGAAAAACATCCAGTAAAATATTAGGAACTGTAATCATAGCAAAGATAAAAGAAATCAGTTAATAAATGATGAGTTATTAGTTATTAGAACTATTATGTTTAGAAACGGGCATTACGGTGGTGCAGTGGACGATTGCCTCACAGCAAGAAGGTCACTGGTTTTAGCCTCGGCTGGGTCAGTTGGAATTTCTGTTTCATGTTCTCCCCGTGTTCCCATGGGTTTCCTCAGAGTGTTCCGGTTTCCCCCACAAGTCCAAAGACATGGGGTACAGGTGAATTGGGTAAGCTAAATTGTCCGAAGTGTATGTGTGTGAATGACTGTGTCTGTGTGTTTCCCAGTGATGGGTTGCAGCTGGAAGGGCATCCACTGCATACAACATATGCTAAATAAGTTGCCAGTTCATTCTGCTGTGGCAACCCCAGATTACTAAAGGGCCTAAGACGAAAAAAAAAAAAATGAATGAATATTTGGAAATGTGTTCTAAAAATATATAATAAAACCATATTTCTGTTAAAAAGAAATTGGGAAAAAATATACATGGAAGGCTAATAATTCTGACTTCAGTTGTATATGCAAAACTTAACATTCTTATTGTCATCTCTACTTATACCGAACAATAATAATTCAACTGTATATATATTCTTCGAAACATCTTGTCTGGTGTTCAACAGTGTGAGTAAATAAATAATTGAGTCTGAGTAAATGATTTTTGAGTGACAGATTCCTCTAACAATTTGTTGCTGACAGATAACTAAAACCAGTTTGAAGGATAAAAAAAAAATTTAAAATGACAATTAATCTGTGTTTTAGGTCTGCATTGTGATCCTTATATAGAGAATTCTAAAGGGAAAAAAAACATATTTAAACCTATATCTGCTTATTTTACAAGTCTCCTGGAGATCAACAGAGGAGTTTACCATTTTAATCCATTCAGTCAATCTTTGGCTCTGGCAGGAGCACTTTTAACTTAGCTCAGCATAGATAATTTAATCAAATTAGACCATTAGTGCCTCGCTCAATTTCAAAAAAGATATCACAACAGGCGCAATGATATTATGCGGCACCTGAAAATAGTCCCCAGCTAAGTAACTAACTGTGTAAAATCATTATTCCTGCTGCAGCCCTAATTATTACACTAGACTGAGAGTATAGTTCCTTGCCATATCGACCTAGAAAATAACAAGTTTTTATTTTCCATTGATCTTAGTACACAATGTAACTACTGAAGAGTGAAGTTTTGATTAGGAAAATTATTAAAACTGTTTTGAGTGAGATGCTAATAGTCTAATCTGATTAGAGTGCTCCTGCCAGACCTGGTGATCGGCTGAATGGGCTCAAAATGGTAAAACTCAACTGTTTTACTATATGGAAGTTGTAAAATTATATCTTGAAATAAATAAATAAATAAATTGCAGTGTTCCTTTCATTATTCTTGTTCTAAATAAGCCTGATATTTATAAAATGATACTATTGTTGCACCAAATTACATTTAATGGAGTCTCCTGTTATTTAGTAAAATTTATTATAGCAATTATTATTATTCTGCTCAAAATATTTGAATTATGTTGAAAATATATATAAAATATTTTGCCTGTGCATCTTAAGGTGTTAATGTCTGTTTATGAACACAGGTTGGATCGGTTTGTGGTTCATGACTATGTGCACCGCTCACTGATGGAGGTGACGGAAGGTAAAGATCTGGAAGAGGAGCTGGAGGGATGTGAGCTGAACCGGATATTCCAACTGACCCTTTTGCATAATCACCGGAGCACCTCATCTCAACTTCTGCTGCAAACAAATTCAGAGTCAGTCCTGCACCTCTACAATGAACCCTCAAATTGATGCTAAATGGCCTTTGTGGCTAGGTAAAACATTTAACAGTGTAAAATAATATGATCTTTCTCTTGGTAAACTATTATGTGTCTGTTTGTTTTCACAGAGCTGAAAAGAACTTATGGGTGGAGCTGCTAGGTGGTCGGAGAGATGGACAGGACACTGTGTATGAAGAATGGGGTAAGAATCATTTACATTTACGTTTACATTCAGTGAATTTCCCAATAATTTTCAAAACTATAACATATATATATTTTAAATGTATGAAAGTCTCGTTTTCACATACCATGCGTAATCTGGTTTAAGGTTAGCATCTTCAGCTAAAATACCAAAATGTGGAGAGTGTCAGCTTTGTTATTGTTAATTATGAGTGGTTTAAAAAGTTTCACAATAAGTGAAACAGTAACAGAAGTAACATAATACAACACAAGTTTTCAAGAAGAAACCAAAATAATTCATGTAATTTATTTATATATTTTTTTTTATCATTGTTAGACAGTGTTATGGGGAATATAGCTAGGTATGGTTAAGATAACATAAATTCTAGTATGACAAATTCTATTCCAGAATCGTGCGTGCATTTTGCATTTCCAAGAAAACCCTATTATCTTTTAAACAAAAACTTTTAACACAACTGTTTTAATAATAACAAATTATAACGAGTTAACTCTAAAAATAATGTTTGTATGTGTATTAAGGAACATTTCGTCTTACAAATATTAACATAATTAATATTTCCACTACCTATTTTACCGGATATGCACAAAAAGGTGGAAAAATTAACTCTGTTATTGTTATACTTAGTGGTTTACAATGTTACACAATTAAAAAAAAAAAACAGAATCAAATGTCCCCTATCACATTTCAACATTTTGCACTATTTTACATTAGGAATTATTCAATTTAGCCTACTGTAAATTATACACTTATTGTAGTATATCATTCTGGATTATGGAAGATGAGTGAAACTAAAAACGCTTGAACTGAAGTTACATATCTGAATTGAGATCATCTAAAAATTCTCAACACTGTGAATGAAGAAAAAGCTTGTATCTTCAGATTTTATTTTCAGTCGTTTAGCATAAAATGTCCAACACTAAAATTCACCATTAAACAAAAGCTTTGTGTAGGAATTCATGTTCAGCTTCTGTAAACAGAAAAATTCAGACTTCTTTGATTTCACAGGTCATTTAAGACGTTTTAGCTTAAGAAGACACATAGAGCTAATGGATGGAGCTTGACACCTGAGCTTCCACTCAAAGGGATACAGCTGGATACGCACGTCAATATACAGTAGCATATCCCAACATCTGCAGCAATAATTGCTATTTTTATGTTAATGTGTAATTAATTTTAAATATGAAAAAATACACTGTATATTTACTGTTTTTACATTACATTGGGGTTGGTACGTCACTAAATACAATTATTGGAAAATTTAATAAATCATAATTCTCGTTTACTTCCAGCCGCAGCTGTATCTCGTCTAGCAACATACTTCGCTAGATGGTCCACCCTCACCCTATCCATAAATATCACTAAACAAAACTCCACCCATCAAGTCCACAGAGGTTAAGCTGGATTAGGTAAATTAAATAATCCTCTGATAACATTATAGAGCAGCAATTAGCTCTAGCAAAAGAACAAAGAAAAATTCACCCTAACAAGCAAACTAGAACATGTGTGGCTACAGATTGACCACTAGGGGGCAAAAGTGTCAATGACTTCGAGAATGTGTTGCTACAAAATCGAAACATCTGTGTTAATCAGAGACGTGCAATTATGATTTGAGATCATTGAAAATATGATTTGGAGTATAATTATTTAAACATCTGTGATAAACTATTAAATAAATGAACAGACTATACTGAAATGGTCATTGTGTTCAAGATTGTCCTCAGGTGCGATGTGTTGAGGTTTGCACTGGACAGCAGAGAGGAGAGCTCAGTCTACAGCAGGGAGATCTGATCAATGTCATACAGAAAACTACTGATGGTACTGTTTTTCCAACACAGTTCTGCTATACCAAATCAAATTATTTTATCATGGGTGATTTTTTTGAGGATCTGTCTCATCATTCTCTACTCTCTGCTGTTGTAGGGTTCCTGGAGGGCCGTAGAGTACAGGATGGACAGCGGGGCTGGTTCTCGGCCTCATGTGTAGTAGAGATCACTAATGAACATGTACAGAGACGTCACCTCCGTCAGAGGTATCATGTCCTACAGACGGCCACACGCCTGCTGAAACAGCGCAACAGAGGCCTTGAGCAAACAACCACAAAATGCCTAAAATGAGAGACCGCTTTCCTAGAGAGAGTCTGTTCTTAGATACTGTTTGATAGTGTCTTACTGACATGAAATAAAAAAAAGTGAAGAAAAAAGTGTGTGTGTGTGTGTGTGAGAGAGAGAGAGAGAGAGAGAGAGAGAGAGAGAATGTGTACACTGTAAAAAAAAATCAGGGTTTCACACAATATTTATTTATTTTTTTTATTAAATTAACTTTTATTTTTATGATTTAAATATTGGTGACATGGTAGCGCAGTGGGTAGCATGATCGCCTCACAGCAAGAAGGTCGCTGGTTCACGTCCCGGCTAGGTCAGTGTGGTTTTCCTCCGGGTGCTCCGGTTTCCCCCACAGCTAAAGGACATGGGCTATAGGTGAACTGAAAAAACTCAACTGGCTGTATAGTAGATGTTCCCTAGTGCAGGGCATCCTCTGTGTGAAACACATGCTGGATGAGTTGGCTGTTCCTTCCGATGTGGCGACTCCTGATGAATAAAGGGACTAAGCCGAAAGCAAATGAATTTAAGTGTATTGAACATAAAACAATTAAGTTGTCACAAAAAAACTCAAGAATTGTGTTGAGTTAGCTCATTTTAAATAAGTAGAACAAACAGAAAACATCATTTTTGACTGTATGCATGTACCCAACATTAATGAGTACAACCCCTTTGAAAACGATTTGAAGGAACTTTTTTCAGTATATATAGAATATATGTTGAACTGTTAGATAAAATGTTTTTTTTATTTTTTTATAAATATACTTTATTAATTTTTTTCAAGAACAACCACAAAGAAACAAACACAACACTCTGCACTGTCCCGGACAAATCCCATACAATGAGTCAATGAGCAAAAAAATGGCAACATAGTTTAGCGGGTGACAACATAAAATAGAATAAAGAAATAAAAATAAATAATTAAATAGGTAAAATGAGTAAATTAAGTTTCTGAAGAATCCACAGAGGTTGAGTGGCTGGTCTGTTCATCCAGATAGTCTAGAAATGAACCCCAAACACTAAACATTTTTCCAATAGAATGAGTCCTTAGAAATCTCAGTCTTTCTATCTGTAGTACTGAAATCATGTCCACTATCCACATTTGAAAAGAAAGGGGGTGAAGATGACTTCCAATGCCGGAGCACAAGCCTTTTAGCCACAATCATACCTTAAGACAAAGACTGCTGGAGTCCATCTGGGAGATGAGAAATGTGTTGTGAATATCTGAAAATAGCAAGTTCTGCATCAGCAAAATTTACTAAGCTTTAGAAAACCAATCAAATATGCTTGACCAAAATGTATATAACAAAGGACAAAACCAGAAAGCATTGAAGTTGTGTTTTCTGTCAATTTGCACCTGTCAAATAATGGTGATATGGAGGGAAAAACTTTATGCAACTATAAAATATTTTTAAAAGAAAATTTATATTCATTAAAATAAGAGACCTTATCTAATTCAGTTTAGGACATATGGTTAATTAATGCATTTAAAGTCAAATGAGGGGTTGCAAAAATAATTAAACATATAAAAAATAAGCATTAACAAAATAAATAAATAAATAAATAAATGAAATGTTATATGTCCTCCTTTATTTTTCCCGTTAATTAAATATTTATTTTATATTATCTTTTGTCAGAACACTTTCAACTAAGTAAGTTTATCCTTAAAACAAGCAAACAAATCTTCCAGTGGTTTCCATAAAAATATAATTATTTAAAGAGAAGGCATAGTTGTTTTTCTGACCTCAGTGGAAGATAGCTTTTATTATTTTAAGAAATTCTCAATTATTACCTTTTCCACTATGAAATTAGATTTAAATAAGATTTTTCTGTCTGCTTCTTAATTAAATGTATCCTAACGTAGGATAAAGAATACTGAGGATTCTGAGGATATTTATTAAACATATTTATATATGTTTAAATTAATTTGGTCTTTTTAGCTGGCTTTTTTATGTGTTTGCACAGTGGGTCAGAGTTATTTTATTTGTATTTATCAGTTCTGTCCTTTTCAAATAAATTTGATAAAGATGATGCCCTTCTGTTCTCCTAGTTTAAGCTCTATTCCTTTGCTTCCTTTATTTTACACAATAATTTGCCTACATGTTTACTGTATTGAATGGCATCTTGTACACAAAACTTAAAATTAGCTTGTTTTGCATGTGATCAGAAAATATAATTATTTGGCATTCCTGTTATTTTATTTTCCCTGGAAATTAAGTGCGCAGACACAGAATGCAGTTTTGCTCATATAGACAGTATTGTAATGTAAACACTTCATTTTATTATATTATATTATATTATATTATATTATATTATATTATATTATATTATATTATATTATATTATATTATATTATATTATATTGTATTATATTATATTATATTATATTATTATATTATTAAATTATATTATATTATATTATATTATATTATATTATATTATATTATATTATATTATATTATATTATATTATATTATATTATATTATATTATATTATATTATATTATATTATAAAAAAAAACACCATTACTTAGAGTCTCCAAACCAATCAAATTAATCCGAAGGTCCCCTCTCAGCCAATAGCTGCCGACCATTCCTGTGCAAATCTGAACCAATAGACGCCAGGATCTGCCTGTAGTCGTCCAATCAGAGCGCTGCTTTGGCCGCACTTCGCCTACAGCGACGGTCAGACGTGTAACTCATATAGAGTTGGAAGAAATAACAGGCGAAAAATAAAAGGTAAGCTATCGATTTACTATAATGAAGCTATTAAAATCAAACGTGGACGGTTTTATTAGCCGTAGCTTATTTAAACCCGCCTCCGTGAAGCGTACTGTAGAGTTTCAAGATCTCTTCGCATGTTTGTGTGGTTTGACTAAACTTTCTCAGTCTTTGTTTCAAGTCTGTAATGGCAAACAGCAAACTGTGCCCTTTTAGTTTTCCTCGGAATTAAGGATAGTGTGTCGGTGTTGTTGAATTAGGTTATAACGAGTGGTAAAATGGCCTTTGAGAGATTAAGCCAATGCAGAGATTTTTTTGTAAGTGCAGTTAAGTTTTGCAGCTTTATCCTGTTAAAACTCACCTCTCCAGTGTTTATTTTGAGCTTTCGTTTAATTGTTTTTAAACAGTTTTACGGCAAAACGTGCATCCTGCAATGAGAAAATGCCTTTCATTGTTCTATCAACAACAACAAAACAAGATTAATGATGACTAATCGTCGGTTGATTCAGCAATTGTTCAAACTCTTGGATAAAAAGGTCTCAAATATGCTATTTTCATTTCTCTGAGGAGAAATGTATCAGTTTGCATCCCGGTTTCCAGTCAGATTATTTGTAACCTGTTGAATTAAAGAGCCAAAAACACGCTGAACTGAATGCTGTAGATTTCAATGCAGAATTAATGTGATTCTTGTCTCTCTTTTTCTCTGGAAGTTCAAGAGAGTTGAAGTGGAGTTTGGTTATGTGGTATATTTGAGTTGGTGGTGATGCCTCTCAAGTGTTACCAGTCGCTAAACCTCATGCAAAGTCACTGCTAATTCTGGCAACACATTAGTATTTTGTATTGACCAATGTGAGCTTGTGCTCATGTCACTGCTATCATTTTGGCAGAACTGTATGAAGTGTCATGTGAAATTAAAGGAATTGGGTCACATTTTTTTCTTAGTGTTTTTTTTCCTTTCTTTTCTTACAATGTTAATTGTGTAATTTTCAAGGTTTTTGATTGTGTAATTCACACTAATTGACATGAAATGTTCTCTTTTTAGTTTTATAAATGTATTTCAATAAGATTTAATCTCCCTGTAAGGAAAATAACATTATTAAATGTTAATTGCAAAATTTTATAGGTTTTTGATTGTGTAATCACATTAACTGACATGAAATTCTTTTAAAAATATTTTAAATGTGTTTTAAAAGCTTAAATCCTAGACAAGGAATCTCATTTTGACTAATTTTATACATTTAATTTTTTTTATATGGCTTAAAATTGTTGTTGTGAGCTTTGAGTCGTTATTTGTTTAAATATGCTTGCTTTTGCTGAACCCATCTCTCACTGTGAAAACTATTTTAAATTAGTCATGTTTAATATCATAATTTGGTTTAAAAATATATTACCCACAATGCTGTACATGAAAATATATCTGTATGTAGATACAATCAACTTATAGTTTAGTTTTGTATTTCTTGTCTTGATTTAATCTTATTGCTTGATTTTAATCAATACAACAGAATTGTAGTTCTGTTTCAAAAATGTTAAACCATTTTTAATTATACATTTGGCATCTTTTAACAACCCTTATGTGTTGTTCGGGATGTTTTCATCCACTCTGGAGTGTTTTTGGTTTTTTTTGTCTTAATTTGTCCACGACTTTCTCTGTGTTTCAGCAAATGGAATGATTTTTGGTGACCTTATTTTGTCACATATTTTGGGAAAATGTAAAAAAAAATTAACAACACACTCTGAGCAAATGCATTACCCTTCTTGATTGTTGCTGGATTTCCCTTTTGGGAAGAGGTAAATTTACAAATTCTCACTGTTAATCATCAGTTGCAGTGCAAAACAAGCTTAGTTTCTGGATAAATTTTTTTTTTACACAAGTCTATCGAAAGGGTTAATGCTGCCAACTGATGATCAACCGTAAAAATGAGTAGTTTGATCTCTTCCCAACAGGAAACACCAACAATTAAGAATGCATGATTATTTGATGTCATGGCTTTGTCATTGGGGCAAAAACAGCCACAAACGGGAGGAAAGGACCATCTATTTAAAGACAAATGTGTTATGACAATCAAATTTATAAGCCCTTTCTTTTCACTTCTATTTCTTTCTTTTTAAAAGAATGATTACAAAAAAAAATAAAAAATTAACCAGATAATTGGTGGACTCTGATTGCCATCTCTGGATAGATATCCAGTTTCATCACTTATCATAAAAGCATTGTCTTTGAATCCTGAAAATAGTCTCATTGATTCTACCATGATATGGATTCCTGTATAACTGGCTTGAGATTTCATTGTGTCGTTTCATTGATTGCTGTGTGTTGTCTGCAGGCAGAGGTGTGTGTATGTGTGTGAGAGCGGAGGGAGGCTGCACTGGGAGCAGCTATGGGTGAGATCGAGGGCTCCTACCGCTCCTTGCAGACCCCTGCTGGATCTCGACTCGGGGGTCAGCACAACACCGGCATCAGCACCCTGGAGCCTGGCCAGAGCCTCAGTTCTGCCATGGGGGCTGGGGGAAAGGGCCACAACAAGGGCCTGCAGATCCGCGTTCAGGGCCTGGATGAGGCTCAGGAGTTCTATGAGCTCGAGGTGAGCTGCTTCACAACTTTTATTTGGTTTTCTGGCTCTGTTTGTTGTCATTTGAGGCTGGTTGAGAGATCCAGAGTTGGTTGGTTAAGTAGTTAGTTATTTCTTGTCGCTAGTCTTGCCAATGCTATAGCATGTAGAGTATTTTAATGTTTTTTTTAAAAAAATTTTTATTGATCTTGGCTATTGCATAGTAAAGTTTGAGGCTATTAAAAAAGTTTTTTTTTAATTTCTTACACTCACCATGGCTGTGTTTTCAAAACTATTATTGTAAAAGGATATTATAATTGGAAATGTTTGTATTTTGAGTATATTTTATAATGCAGTGCTTCCCACACATAGAATTCACTTGTGTATACATAGACTTTACCAAGTATATTTAGTGGCACATTTTTTATTGCTATTATTAACATCCTTCAACACTTTTTTTTTTTTTTTTTGTATCTGCCCAATATAATCAAGCATCCGTGATCGATTAAGTAGCGGAAAATCTTCTCTCGTTTACCCATTTTGTTCTGTGAGCGAGACCTGTCAGCACTTCCACAGACACCCCCACAGCTTTGCAGACCCACAGAGACACGCCTTTTTGGGACTTAGACAGTTTGTCCGGCCCAGGTTTCTGAATCTTCTAAAATGTTCGGGATTCAACTTTTGCTTTTGCTTTCTAAAGCTTTTGTGCGTTTTTGCATTACTCTTTTATTAAAGACTACTTTGCGCTTGGCTTTACAGCTGACAGCAAGCACAGCTGCGAGACTGAGAAAAAAGTAAATAACAGTAAATAATAGGAGAGGACGAAATGACTGGTCTATGCTGGCTGTACACCATTAGTGTACGCATTTAATCAACGCATTTGCCTTCTCTAAATAATCTACATGTTTTAATCTTGTAATTATTTTCACCTTTAGAGATATTGTCTTTTTTTATTCCTTTTTTCTGTCATCTATTTTTCTTTTGCTGATTGTTTAATTAATTTGATGATATTAATATATTCCTTAGGCTATTTTATATATGTCTAAAATGCTTTGGCATTCAAGTTTGCTTTGAACTTAAAAGAGACAGAAAAAAATTATACCCTGTCAGTATATGCACATGGTTCCTGAATAGCATAAAAGTAACAGAAATAGTGGATAGGGTTGCATGGCTTATCGGTACTTTGGTAGCACCGCAATACTATGGCTCCAAAATACTGGTGGTGCCACTGTAATTTGTAAACAGTAGCATCGTCATTACAATTGTGTCAGAAAAGAATCAATAGACCACTTTATTTCACTTTTATTTTAGCCGTCTGCATATGAGTTGTAGTTTGCTGCTGTCTTAGATTGTATGACGTGATCAATGATTTATGTATTTTATTATTATTATTGCAATGACAACATAAGAGTCACAGTATACACACAAAAAAATGAGTAAGTCTGTACAAATAATACTTTTTAAATAATAAGGGAATACTAAATTGAATATAATTATTATGACATGAAAAATATAGTATTTCTAACAATTTGCTTTATTTCATAGATTTGAGTTATGAATTCAGGGGCTCAAAATTGCGACCATTTTGATTGCATATGTACCCAAAATTTTGTCTATGTGACCTCAATATATATTTGGGAGCATTTGTGCAAGTGCATAAAATTGGTTTGTGCGACCAGTTTTTACCACAAAATGTTTACCACATGCCTGAATTTAGGAGACATTCACGCATAATGCATCTTTGCACTTAAAACGCAAAAAGCAGCGCTCCGGAATGGTTTAAAACAGTTGTCATGTCAACTTGCTGCAGTAAACAAAGCCCGCAATTCTTGCCCCCTGCCTTCGTGCTCTTTTTATTGACCCATTGCTCTGTAACTGACAGCGAATGGATTGGTTAATATCAGCTGTCAATCACTCAGTCAGTGCCTTCTGGCTTAAGATGACAGGGAGAGCTACAACTGCGAAAATGTAAAGCGCTAAAGATGAGAATGAAAACAAAACTGTGACAGATTTTGTTTTAGAAACCATCTAAAGTTACAAATAATGACACATCTTAGTAGTGATCATGCGGTGAATGTTATTCCATCATCTACACTTTTGAAAGAGTGCATAAAAGACTTCCATTGGCTTCAAGTCCACTATGATACGTCTGTGGGATGGAATTTTTTAGGTTACTGTTTGCCATCTAGCACGTTAGCTTCTGTTTAATCCTTCGTTTAATCGCCAGATGCTGTCCACCGTGCAAGTGGCAGCTATATGTAAAATTTAACACCATGTACACCATTGCAAATGGGCTTGCAATGAGTAAACAAATATTGCTATTCATGAAAAGACCGGTATTGCTATTAACATGATGTATGCATATAATAAGGTACAGTATGGGTCAAAAGCATCTGTGTAATATCAGACATCACTTGTGAGAACAGCAGTGGGTGCGACAAAATTTTTCTGATGCGCCTACATTTTTAAAGGTAGGAGCACCGGTGCTACCAAACAAAAAGGTTAATTTCGAGCCCTGGACTTAATACAGTATCGTGATACTACCTGGTATTGTGATGCTTCAGCTGGTATAGTGTCATGGCCTGAACTGATAGTATCGAGATAGTTGATGTTATTTTAACCATTTTTTATTTTATTTTTTTTACATTAACCCATTAAAAAGAAACCGTGTATTGCATGTCATAATAAATACAATTATTGTAAAAAATTTAATTATGTTTTGTTTGTTGCATATAATCAACTATTTATGTGATGTGGGTAAATGGTGTGTTTCAATCTGGCTACCACCGCAAGTATATTTCAAACCTGTGGGAAGCACTGTAATGTAATTTATTCCTGTGATTCCATTACTCTAGTCTTTATTGACACACAATCATGCTAATTTGGTGTGCAAAAAACTTTTCTAAATGCAAAGTAAAGGTAAAAACAGTATTTCAAGGCTTCGTAAAACCTTTTTTTTGTAACCCTAATAAATGTACTCGCTGTAATTTTTGATCAATTTAATGCATAAAAATATTAATTTATAAAAAAAAAATCTCATTGCCCCCATACTTTTAAATGGTGGTTTATTTTAAGGTCATGTCATTTGACTAGTTTATTAATGAGTTAAATAGCTTGATTGAATTAAAACAATTCCAACTGTCCTTTCAATCACTGTTGAGTAAATCAGTTCAAAACTTTTGTTCAGCTCTTCAGGCACAAAAAACTTTTCCATGTGGCGTTCTTTATGTTTAGTGTTTTGTATTTGTAAACTGCTATGTTAGCACATACAATTAAAAACTTAGCATGAATAATGTTTTTTTGATTTAGATTTGTTTTCTTAATAAATGAAACTTTGGGTCAACTTGACTACAATGGCAGTTGTTGATTAAACTGTTGAAACGATGCTTATCGCATATTGCTACATCCTGATCATACCGTTTCACAATTGTCTGGTTAATTGTTTGGTTGCTTGTTTTGTTTGTTTGATTCCACTGCATAAATATTGTACTTTTGCTATTGTGTTTGCAAAGCTACTCAAAGTTTATTTAAAAATAAGCATGCACTGTAGCCAGCGTGCTGTGTTTGGTTTTGTCCGTTTGCAACTATGCTGGAGAATGTAAACGGCCGTCTCTCCGGAGACCTCTGGCAGTCTTGTTTTGCGTGCGGTTGTGGTGGGTGACAGCTGCCGCATGGCTTTAGCTTTTAAATCCTGCATCTTTAAGTCTGTTTTACACCGAAGGCCTGAAGTCACTCTCTAAGTGCTGGCCTGGGTGTAGTTACACATCTGACAAAGGCATTTTCTGTATAGATGTTTGTTTATTTTGTTGAATGGATAAAAATATAAATTGCATTGCTTGAATTTTTGACAAAATAAAAAGATGTAAAAGCAGGGTGAGTTTTAGATGATTGTGGGCTTGTGCATTGTTTCATGTTAGCATTGTTCTAAAACGCTTTTACTGCTGGTCTCTGCTCATACATGCTCTTCTTTTAATTATATCAGGATTCTTTCTCGTACTTGACAAAGAGAACTGTTCTATTAGGGTTAAATTGAAAAATCACTAAATAAAGATTCTCCCCCTTCTGAATAGAGAAATGATCAATAAATAGAATATTACTTAGTCCTTGTTTGCTGTTGAAGATGTTTTCATCCACTCTGAAGTGGCTTTGAGGCTTTATTTGGCCACAACTTTCTCTGCGTTTCAGTAAATGGAATGATTTTGTTTGTGATGATTCCTATTTTGACAGATATTTTGGGAAAATGCCAACATTTTACTGTTGATCATTTGTCACAGTTGAAAAATTCAGCTTAGTTTCTGCCTTTTAATTGCCGTATAATGTGTGTGTGAGAGTGTAAGGGAGACCTTTGCACATTTGCATTGATGTGTTAGAGAAAATAAAATAAATACCCTCAGCTCTCAGAACATAGTAAATTTAGTAAGTGTATTTATACACGGACACTATAATTTGCTCTTTGACTCAATAGGACTCCATATAGACGCCAGAAATGTTTTTGCTCAGAAATCTAATCTAAATCTAATGGTTTGATTGTTCCAACTGATGATCAACAATAAAAATGACTAATTGTACCTCTTCTCAACAGAGTTAACCAACAATCATTGAAAGAATGTAATTCAATTATGAGAAAATTAAGGCACTTAAAAGGTTTTTAAAAGTCTTCATTGGGTTTTTATGAGGTCTTAAATTTTGTTCAAGCCTTGTTCAAAGTGTTTGACTCCAAAACAGCATAAATATTATTTTTTCCTCTATCCACGCGATTGGTTTGGGCTGGGGTGTGTCCAGCCAAGCTTCTTCATCCAGGTGATGTCACGTAATTTGAGACAAACATGGAAAGGTGATGTGATTCTCTCCAAATGTAGCAAAAACATAAAGCAAAACTGGAAAATGGGAAAATGTAAGTTTGCATACTCGGAGAAAGAAGAGTTCAAACAATGGCTAAAGCCTGTCGCTGAAAACAGCCACGTAATTTATTCTTTCAAGTTTCGTTTCTTCCGATTCCATGTTGCATGGTTGTGCTCCATTGATTTATTAAA